TCTAAAATAAGCACACATCTATTTTTATGTTTGGATGCTTGCAACAATTTCCCATATATTCTTTGCACATCATGCTCATTAGATATGTCTAAATTAATAGATCTAGCAATGGCTTTTTGCAACTCATAAATGCCATCATGTTGTGACATAGTAACCCAAATAACATTGTCAAAGTCATCACCGGCTTCTTAGTTTTCCCTATCCCTCCCATTCCCCATATACCAATTGTTGACACCTCATTTTCCATTATCCATTTCCATATTTGTTCAGCATAACTTTGGAACTTCTTTCCAACTAACTCAGTTGTCGGAAATACATAACCTTTAACACATCCTAGCAATAAGAATAGGAATAACCGATTAACATGATAGGATGATAAGAATTATTTCTTTCAAAAACAAGAAGTGAGAAGGATAAAATACAAAATAAATTGAAATTATTCCATTATATATATCCTTCACCATTTCTTAAAAACAAAGTGATGATCATTTAGTTTGATATGATGATAGCTATTACTTTAAGAGAAGTTAGAAAGAATATATAAATTAAATTGCTGTATAAATGACTACAAAGAAATGGCTGTATATAATTTAAGTTGAAGTATATATATACCTTTTTCCACGCTAACATTGTTTCTCTTGACTCTATTATCAGAATCATCCAATTCCATATATGCCCCTAGCCCAACATCTTCAATATTGTTTTGCATCTATCAACCCGCTTTCTTTTAATTCTACATAAATCTATATCTTCTTCACTTTGAACTTGTGCATAGCTTCCTGCTGCTTTATCATATAGTGTTTCTTTTTCTTGGTTTAAGTCACTCTTGAGCAACTCTAGAGCCAAATTCAATCTTTCTTCATCACTGTCAAACTACACATTTTGTCCATATCATATATATCATTGAGAGTGTTTGTACATCTATGTGCATATGCATGTACATGTATGAATGAATATTTATAGAGCATTTAACAATAAACAGTTGGCAAGTGACATACCTGAAATGAAGGATTTTGCCTCACATAAATATCTGATTGTTGCATATATTCAATAACAAATATACCACAATCATATCTACATATTGAAGAAATATGATATGCTCAGGATACATGCTTGTTTCATTAGGCTGTGATGGGATATTGCTTACCATTCCCCTGGGAAATTCTGTGAACTTAACATTCCTGATCATGTTGTCTATGGCAAACAACTATATATTCGAGATATTAATTCTATAGAATTAAATATCGATATCAATCTATTAATTATATCAATATTACAGTTATTTAAAACTTACCAGTTTTGTTGTCTGTTCACGTGTAGTTTTATCCATAAATTGAGGACAAAGAGAATCCCATATTTCAACAACTTCATTCTTCACACGAATAATGTATTAAAAAAATGTCCACGTGATTTTTTTTTTTTTAACATAGACAGGAATAAATATCTGTATTAATATGTGATCAAACAAATCAGATTGATATAAAGTCAAAAGAGCAGTCATAATGGTAAGCGAAACATCAACCACAAGAAGACAATAACGTAATACCTTCTCACAATATTTCAGTTAGATATGTGGTTCTCTTTCATTTTATGTTGTTCAACAAACTCAACGAAGGAACTTACGTCACCACTACTGAGTGCTCTATTCTACAACAAAAGAACCATTGAACATATACTAGTCAATAATTTTTTTTTTTAGATTCAAGAACTAACATATATCATCCAATTAAAAAGGGAATAAGAAATCACCGAAAACGTCACCGGAAGATACCAATTCAAAGGTTTACTTTTCTTCCTTTCAATGTTAGTCAAAATATTAGCAAAAATATATATTACCTTAGAAGATAAGAAAATTGAACACTTTAACATAACCAAGTGTGGGAATATTTGGAATTTATTATAAATATTGTATAGCCTTTATTAGGTTTTATTAGTCATTATTAGTAATTATTTCCCCTTGTGTATATATAGTCAACTTATACTCAGTATTTGCGTGAATAAGAAATATTATTTCTCTCTCAAATTCTACATGATATCAGAGCAAATGGTTTGAAATTGTCATTAGGATTTTTTGGGTTATGGTTCGTGCAAGACATCGTGTAAGGTGGTCTATACAGCACCCTAGGGCTGTGATACAGGTATTGTTCAAGAGTGTTGTGGTTCTCACTGCCCCAAGTGTGTTCAGATAGATCTGATCGACACAAACCCCAAAGGACACGACAATCACCGATGTGTGTGAGCTACACGCGCCACTCGAATGTTCGACACCAGGACTGCTTCAACGACGCATAGGAGCACGTAAAGCCTCTGTTCTGGCCGTGACTTTGTTTTTTGACAACATAAAGCCTTTTCCAACAAGATCCAGGCCTCATGCACATTTGGGTACCCTTCACTCAACTTTTGTTTATCCCTCTTGTACATTTAGGGGTTTGTTTGAAGGAGTTTGGAGTGCTCTTGGGATGTGGCTACTAATTCTTTTCTGCCCTATGGGTTTCATCTCATGGGGAGCCTTAAGAGTGGTTATTTGGACTCTCCTAAATATCTTAATGAAGGTGACCAAATTAATATGGGACCATAATGTCATTGGCAAATTATGGGCCTACAACAACAATTGCCAAAAGAGGAATGTTTCTTCAGGCTTTAAAAACATCTCGCAATGCCATAGTCTGAATTGTTCATTCAGGAACCTCCAATCATATGACTTGTTGTCATGACTTGTTTACCACTTCTACTCCATGTGCTAGAAATGTTAAAGTCAAGATTGCAGAAGGCTTCTTAGCACCTGTAGCTGGAAAGGGAAGTATTCAAATTTCTGACTCTATAGTGTTGGCATCTATCCTTCACGTGCCCAAGCTTGATTGTAACTTTCTTTCAATCAATCAATTGACTACCCAGTCAAATTGTTATGCTAAATTCTTCCCATCCCATTGTGTGTTTCAAGATCTATCATCTGGAGCGACAATCGAAAGTGCTAAGGAGTATGAGGGGCTCTATTATTTCGAAGCCACTACTCGAGTAGGTAACTCCTGATTGTGAGTAACTCTGCATCTATCTCTAAAGTTAATGATTTTCTATTATGGCATAAGAGAATAGGTCATCCTAATTTTCATTACCTTTAACAATTGTTCCCAACTCTTTATCCAAACCTGAATGTTAATGACCTTCATTGTGAGGTGTGTGAATTGGCCAAACATCATAGAACATCCTTTCCTAGAACAAAATACATGCCCATTAAACCTTTCACAACCATTCATAGTGACTTTTGGGGACCATCTTGTACACCTAATCATACTAAAGCCACGTGGTTCATTTCCTTCATTAATGACCACACCCATATCAATTGGGTTTATCTTTTACAAAACAAGTTTGAGGCTACATCCATGTTTATCACTTTCTTTAACATGATCAAAACTCAGTTTAATACCACCATCCAAGTCTTACATACCGACAATGGCACCTAATACTTTAATCAATCTTTGAGTACTTTTCTCCACATGCACGGTATTGTCTATACTAGTTCTTGTGCTCATACACATCAGTAGAATGGGGTTAAGGAAAGGAAAAATCATCACATACTTGATGTTGCTAGGGCCTTCATGTTCACCTATAATGTGCCTAAGTTTTATTGGGAGGGTGCCATTTTGACCGTGACTTACCTTATCAATCGTATGCCTAGTCATATCTTATCCTTTGAAACTCCTCTCCATAAATTGAAAAGTATTTTCTCCATATCCCATATTGAAACCAATCTTCCCCTTCGTGTATTTGGTTGCACAGTCTTTGTCCATAACCACCACAACACCAAACTTGAACCTCGAGCCATCAAATGCATATTCCTTGGCTATTCTTCTACTAAAAAAAGGATATAAATGCTTTGAGCATGTCATAAAATACACATTTGTCAGTCTTCGTGTCACATTCCATGAAGGTACTTCGTTTTATCCTAATTCTTCAATTTAGGGGGAGAGCACAGGTGAATTTTAGACTTAGGAATAAGAATCTAATAGAGAACTAGTGCTTCTTGAGCCTTGGTTAGCACCAACTAAACTTGAGCCATCTACCCTTCCAACATCCCTTCCAGTACCATCTCCTCTTATGCCACAATATGAGGAATATAAGCAAACATGAGGAGAGGCAGAAAGACCACAACAAGGAGAACTTTATGTTTATACTCAAAAAAAAAATCAAAAGATAGTGAGCACTTGTACTTGAAGCACCAAGAGAGTCGTTCTAAAGGTAGCTCGTGAGGTAGAAACTCGTGGTGACTTAGAATTTGGGGTAACTCCTGAAACCCCAAAACTTGATAGTGCCAAACAAGTAAGTAAATCTATTGATCTTGATCTTCCTATTGCTTTGAGGAAGTAACCTTGCTCATGTACCTTTCATCCAATAGAGAGGTTGTTCCATACAACGTGCTCTCTCCTCAACATTGGGCTTTTGTTACTAATCTTGATAAAGTGAAGGTACCTGAGACTATACAAAAAGCTCTAGGCATTCCTGGATAGAGAAGTGCTATCATGGAGGAAATGAGGGCTTTAGAAAAGAATAAGATAGGAACTTGTTCAACTACCAAAAAGAAAAAGAACAATGAGTTATAACTTAAAAGTGGGTGTTCACCCCAAAATAAAAGGCAAATGGAGCTCTTAACAAGTTGAAAGCTTACTTGGTTACAAGGGGTTTTACCTAAACATATGGCTTAGACTATGAAAAAACTTTTACTTTGGTGGCAAAATTAAACACTATCAGAGTCTTATTGTCTGTAGTAGCTAATCTTGAGTGGCCTCTTCACCAACTTGACATCAAAAATGCCTTTCTAAATGGAGAGTTGAAGGAAGAAGTCTACATGACTCTACCTCCTAGGTTTCATAAAGGTAGGGAAAATCAAGTTTGTAAATTGAAAAGTCTATATATGGCTTAAAACAGTCACCAAGAGCTTAGTTTGATAGGTTCTCAAAGTCTTAAAGTTTGAGGGTTACAAGCAAGCCCTATCAGATCATACAATGTTTGTCAAAGTCGAGGGAAGCAAGAAATGTATCCTTATTATCTATGTTGATGACATAATACTCACCGGAGATCACCTTGAGGAGATAGAAAGGGTAAAGGCTGCCCTTGGCAACGAATTTGAAGTTAAAGATCTAGAAAGGGTAAAGGCTGCCCTTGGCAACGAATTTGAAGTTAAAGATCTTCAAAAGTTAAGATACTTTCTTGGGATGGAAGTTGCCAAGTTAAAGAAAGGGATCTATGTTTCTCAGAGAAAGTATATACTTGACCTTCTTACTGAGACAGGTATGTTAGGTTGTAGACCTGTTGAAACTCCTATTGAGGTCAAGAAATTGAAGAAAAAACCTAAAGACAAGAATAGGAAAGAGAAAGATTTCGAGGAACTAGGAAGAAAAATTAGATGAGGAGTATATAGAAGAAAAGGAAGAAGCTACTGATAAAGAGAGATATCAGAAACTTGTTGGAAAACTTATATATCTTTCCCATACAAGGCCAGATATAGCATTCACTGTCAGTATAGCCAGTCAATATATGAGCTGCCCAATGAAGAGTCATATAGAAGTAGTTTACAAGATTCTGAGATATCTAAAAGGTACTCGTGGTAAAGGATTATTCTTTAGAAACATAATCAAAGATCTATAGAAGTTTACACTGAGGCAAGTTGGGGTGGAACTTATAAAGATCGAAGGTCAACCTCTGGTTATTGTTCATTTATGTGGGGAAATCTAGTCACATGGAGAAGTTAGAAGTAATTGTTTCAAGAAATAGTGCTGAATCAGAGTTGAGGGCTTTAGCTCAAGGAATAACAGAGGATTTGTGGCTGGTACAAATCTTGAATGAAATACAGGTTGAAGCAAGTTCACTATTAAAGCTTTATTGTGATAATGAAGCTGCCATAAGCATAGCTTTAAATCTAGTACAACATGACCAGTCGAAACATGTGGAGATAGATCAACACTTCATTAGAGAAAAGGTGGAAGAAGGAACTATGTGTTTGACATATTTTCCTATAAAGTTGCAAACAGCTGATATTTTGACTAAAGGGTTACTTGGCCCTGCTTTTGAGAATTGTATAAGCAAGTTGGGCATAATTAGCATCTATGATCTAACTTGAAGGGGAGTGTGGGAATATTTGGTATTTATTGTAAATATTGTATAGTCTTTATTAGGTTTTATTAGTCATTATTAGTAATTATTTCTACTTGTGTATATATAGTCAGCTTGTACTCAGTATTCGCATGAATAAGAAATATTATTTCTCTCTCAAATTTTACACCAAGACCTTGCTTAAATTAAAAAAAGATAGAAAAAAATGTAAGTAAATACTCATCGAAGAATCCAAATAAATCTATGATCTAAATGTGGTGAATTCATATTGCTTCAAATATAAATGTGGTGGTGAAGAGAAAATTGCTTTACCAAATAAAATATAAGATTAGTGATTTAAGCTTAAAAAACAAATACACATAAAGACTATTTTGTAATATACTTGGAAGTACGTATATAAATCTAACCATGATTGTTCAAAAACATATTATATCAACTGCAAGTTAGGTTCCTTCACCATATGAGAAACGAAGAAAGGGCCAACATGAAACCTCTCTTAATGCATAGCTTTAATGTGGATTTGTGCTTGTTGGAGAGCCTTTATTCCTTCCCACATTGTTTTGGGGGACATGTAACTTTCAAGCATTTTTTCATTGATGTTATAATCTTTTGCCCTACCCAATGTTGATAAACCTGCATGTTTTACGTGTTGGCGATACCGGCTGGAGACGCGAACGATGAACTATGAATGTGAACGGCGAACTACAAGTTGCTTGAGTTGTGCCCAGAAGGACATTGTCCTTAAGAACTATTCCGGCACACTGAAATAATGGACCGGCAGTTTTCCAAGATTAAACAAGCACTTCCTGTGGCAGAGAGAGGGAGCAGAATAACAGAAACTAAAAGTAGACACAGATGAACACAAGAGGAGGAGGTAGAGGGAGGAGAGAACCTCAAAAACTCAAGAGGCTTGTACACTTTCTGTCAGCACCCAGAGGCTATATATAGCCCGAAGATGGAGACACAAACGCTAGGTCATAATCATCGGTTAATGCTTTGGTTACACATACATTAAACAACAAAACGTTCGTGGATTAATGCTTCAGTTACACACGTCTTAAACAGCAAAACGTACACGTCCATTAATTCGGAGACGTTTGGCAGACAAAACATTTAAGACATTAACCCACAAAATCAATTTTCAGAAGAGGTTTAATGTCCAAAAACTGCCAAGGCCTCAAATTCAAATTCAAAACAACAACATTAGAGGTTTTTCGGGTAAGCTAAAAATAATTATTTATTTAATTATTTTTGTAAAAATAACCCAGTAAAAGGAATCCAATACCTCTTGAACTCACGTGTAGGGGGGTCGAATCGACTAATTTCAACTGCGATTACCCTGTGTTGGCCTGTCTCATGTGCACGAGGCCACTTCTCCTCCAAGCCCATTTTACTAGCCCACTTCATTCCTTAGTATATATACACTAGGAGAGTCTTTCTTTTAGTCAATGTGGGACTTTGACATACACACACTTTTGACACACATACAACAACCCCTCACATGTGTCAAAAGGATCTATGTTCGTTTGAGTTATTCACATGGAGGATAATCACTTTGAATTTGGTGTCTGTCGACTTAAACCAAACCTAGACTAATAAAACTTAGCACACAAAAAAGTCAGTGTAACTTCATTATTGAACCAACAGGTCTTGAGTGTATGCTATAGGTCTTATAAATCAGATTACACACCCCTACAGTCTCTGCTGTTAACGATAGTTTTGCACGTTATCGGCCATGCGCACATCTGGTTTTAACAAATGCTCTAGAGATTTCGCCACGATCTCATAGTAGTGGCCCCACTCCACATTTGTATAGGTGTTTTCATTAAATTTATTTGCAATGAATACACCATCCATAAGGACTATGAAAACATTAAGAGCTTTTGTTTAACCTCTGTTCAATGCATTCTAGTACTTTCTCAAGCCATAGGAAGGGACAAAGTTCAGTGCTAGCAAAACTAACAAGTGACTTGTTCTTACCCATTGAACCTTCTTCATGGGATCTCCAATCACAAAGGTTGGGTTGCCATCACCGTTATTTTCAAACAGGCTTAAGTTCCATTCCCCTCGACGTTTCAATAATAAATTCTTCCCTAGGGGTTTAGTTAACGGATCTACCAGATTTAACTCTGATCTCACATAATTGATTAAGATGACCTCATCTTTAAGCAACTGCCTTATAATATTATGTCTCAATTGAATATGTCTACTTTTGCCATTGAAAGTCTTATTTTTAGCCGTTGCTATTACAGACTAGCTATCACAATGTAAAGACACTGATGGTGTGGGCTTTTCACCTATTGGAATACTTGCTAAGAAGTTTTTCAACCACTCAGCCTCAGTCCTAGCCAGCTCCATGGCAATGAACTCAGAATCCCTTGAGGATTTTGTGTTGATTGTCCGTTTTGCAGACTTTCAGGTTATTACACCACCACCAAGAGTGAATATATAACAACTAGTGGATTTTGTCTCTTTTGAATCTGAAATCTAGTTAGCATCACTATATCCTTCCAATACAACGGGAAATCCATTATATAATATACCATAATTTATAGTACCTTTCAAATATCTCAAGACTCTCACCAGAGCCTCCCAGTGTTTACTGCCTGGACAGTGGGTATATCTGCTCAATCTGCCTACAACATAAGCTATATTAGGCCTAGTAAAGTTCATCAAATGCAACAGACTCCCAATAATCTGTGCATACTCAGATTGAGCAACTGTGTCACCCTTGTGCTTTTTTAATCGCACACTCGAATCATAAAGAGTACTTAGAGGAGCATCTTCAAGATGTCCAAACTTTCTGAAAATTTTCTCAACATAATGTTCTTGGAAAAGAAAGATTCCATTTTCATTCCTTATGATTTTTACACCCAAGATTACCTTAGCTTCACCCATATCTTTCATATCAAAATTTAAAGAAAGAAAATTTTTTGTTTCATTAACAACACACATACTAAAGCTAAAAATTAGCATATCATCAATATACAAGCATATAATCACACAATCATTATTCACAAGCTTTGTATAAACACATCTTTCTACTTCAATAGTAGAAAATCCACCAGTTGTCAAAACTTGATCAAGTTTCTCATGCCATTGCTTAAGCGCTCGTTTTAAGCCATACAAAGACTTGACAAGTTTACAAACTATTTTCTTGCCCAAGAATCACATATCCCTCAGGTTGTACCATGTAAATATTTTCTTCCAAATCACCATTTAAAAAAGCGGTTTTAACATCCATTTAGTAAACAAAAAAGTTTGTAAATTGAAGCCAAAGCAATAAGAACTCTTATAAAAGAGATTCTAGTCACAGGAGAAAATGTGTCAAATAATCTATATTTTCTTTTTGAGTAAAACCCTTGGCCACAAGCCTTGCTTTATACTTATCAATTGAACCGTCTGGAAAATATTTTTTCTTAAAAATCTATTTACACCCAATAGCCTTAGCTCCTTGAGGAAAATCTGATAAAACCTAAATTTTATTTTTCTTTAAAGAATCAATTTCAATTTCTATTGCTTCTTTCCAAAATGTGGCATCAGGAGAAGAAATAGCTTCATAAAAATTTAACGGTTCATCTTGTACTAAATAATTGTAGAAATCATCTCCAAAACTTATTTCTTTCCTTTGCCTTTTACTTCTCCTTAAAACCAAATCCTCATTTAAATTTTGTTCAAACTCTGAATTCTCAATAGATTTAGAAACATGCTTAATTTTCAAGGGAAAAATATGTTCAAAAAATTAAGCATTTTTAGTCTCTACAATTGTGTTTTGGTCTAAAATATCACTTTTTAAAACTAAAAAGTGATATGCTGCACTTTGTTCAGCATACCCAATAAACATACAATCAGATGTTTTAGAACTAATTTTTCTCTTTTTAGGGTCAGGTAATAAAACTTTTGCAAGACACCCCCACACTTTCAAATATTTTAAATTTGGGGTAAACCCTTTCTATAACTCATAAGGTGTTTTCTTTGTTTTCTTATGAGGTATCCTATTTTGTAAAAAATATGCAGACAAAATAGCTTCATCCTACAAGTTATCAGGTGTAGAAAAGCTCACAAGCAAAGCATTCATCGTTTCTTTTAAAGTTCTATTTTTTCTTTCTGCAACACCATTAGACTCGGGAGAATAAGGAGGTGTAATCTCATGTATAATTCCTTCTTTTTCACAAAAATCATTTAACAAAACATATTCTCCACCTCTATCAGATCTAACCCTTTTAATCATTTTGTTTAATTGATTCTCAACCTCTGCTTTATATAAAAGAAATTTTTCAAAAGTCTCATCTTTGTT